TCATCATCCTCGTCATCACTTTTTTTCTTATTCACTGTTATGTGTCCTTACCTTTTAACAAACTAATCCACTCCAACAGCCTCATTTGGGTTAGATCGAAGTTAATTTCAAACAAAAGTTTATGTAGTCAATGAAAGATTTGCTGAAGATGAGGTAAAACAGTAAGAACAGATGAGAAAGAAACAAGCGGAGACTGATAGGGTAATCTATCACATTCAATTCATCTAAACAACTGATGTTCAGAGTTACTTATATAGAAAGTCTGCTGTAAGATACAAGAGTAAATCACCTGAGTTTGTTACAACAGGTTGAGAGAGAATGCCAGCTGTATAGGGTGGTCAGAGAGTTCTTGAATTCAGTTATTTCAGTTGGAATGCTAAACATGCCCCCTCAAACTAATAATCTGCTGTTGAGATTGTTAGTTTAGAGCTAATATATTTGAAGCAAGGATTGGTAAAAGACTGTGAACGAATCTACTAGCTGATCCATTGTAGTGATGTGATGTATCGTGATTTGTTTATTCTTGATGCAGTCCCGAATATAATAACAATTTATTTCTACGTGTTTGATTTTTGCATGAAAAATTGGATTGTTTGCAAGAGCCATGATAGAGATATTATCACAGTATAATGTAGTTCGCTGAGACAGAGATTTTGAAATCTTACGATAACCATCCAAGCCAAAATGGTGCACAATATTCAACTTTTATGGAGGAGTGAGCAACTGTAGTTTGTTTTTTACTTATTCATGGTATGAGTGTTGAGCCAAGGATAATACAATAGCCAGTGGTAGACGTAAGATCAATAGGACAGTCTGAGTCTACATAAGATGAGTTGAAGATTCCTTCTGGATATTGGGAGACCCAGATTCTTGGTGCCCTTAATGTATCTTAGAATACGTTTTAGCTGTTGAAAATTAAGTTGGGAAGGCTGGTGCATTGATTGACTTGCTTGATTAACTGTATAAGAGAAATATGATCTCGTATGAGTGAGTTACTGTAGGGATCCGACTATTTTGCCATAAAATGAAGGATCCTTGAAGTGGTTTTGGTCGGTATTATTTGGGTTTTTCCGCAGAGATGAGGAATTTTTAGCAGGCTTGGAGTTTAGCATTCCTGTTGTTGTAAGAATTTGTTGGGTATAGGATGTTTGATTTAAATGTAAGCCATGCTCTATTGTAGTTGCTGAAACTCCCAGAAATTGTGATAGAGGCCCTAAATTCTTCATTTTGAACTGAAGATGTAATTTATGTAGAATGTTATTGATATTTTTGTTATCATTCTTTGTTAATAGGATGTCTTCAACATAGATTAGAACTTTAATGTGACAAGTATCACTACTGTAGCAGAAGAGGGAGGAGTCTGCAGAGCTAGGATTGAAATCTAATGTTGTAGATATCTCGTGAGAGTGACAAACCACTATCTTGATGTCTTTTAAGACCATAAAGAGCTTTCTTTAGATGACAAACATAATTAGGATGCAGTTGATCAAGAAAACCTATACTATCTCGGTTAGATATCCATGAAGAAGTGCATTCGAAAAGTCTAATTTTAGTATGTTCCAATTGTAGGTAATGGAAACCGTAAGAAAGACCTGGACAATTGACATTTTTGTCACCGGACTGAGTTTTTGTGAAATCTATTCCACGGTATTGTTTGAATCCTTGTGCCATTGGTCTAGCTTTGTATATAGGTTTTGATCCATCACCTTTGTACCCTAGTACATTTTGATGTGATGAGGGTGGAACTAAGATCCAGGTTCCTTGTGATTGTTGTGCTTAATTTCTTCTGATATGGCTCGTCTCCAATGTGGTTGTTTAATAGCAACTGACTGGTATGAGGGGTCAAAGTACTGGCGTTGGTGAGCGAGGCTGAGAATCTGTTTAAGATTAAGATGACCTGTTTGCGTGCGGGTTAGCATATGGTAGGTTCGATTGAAGTGGGTGATTGTATGTCAGATTCACAGGTTGCAGATGCTACTTTATTTGTTGATGCATTGAAAGAGATATTGAGAATAGAAATGTCATTCTTGAAATCTGGTATGATGGTAGCTTGAATGGTTGAGGGGCTTGCGTTGTGTTTAGTGAGTTGCAAGGAGGACGTAAGAACTAGTAAGATTGGAGGTCGAGTGGTGAAGGAGGTGTAGTGTTGGGAGTTTGAAGTCTTTTAAAAGGGGAACAACCTCATTGAACAAGAATTGTCTGGATATATAAATTTAGTTGGTTGGAGGATCTGGACAATTGTATCCTTTTTGGAAGGGTGCATAATCAAGAGAAACACAATTTTTGGAGTGGGGGAACAATTTCTGTTTGGAGTAGGCTCTGAGCTAAAGAAAGCATTGACGATCAAATACTTTCAAGTGATTTTATTTGGGTTATTTGTCATGTAATACCTCATAGGGTAACTTGGAGTGAATGGCTTTGGAAGGTAACCTGATGATCAAGTAGCATGCTGTAAGAAGTGTGTCGGCCCATAGTAGAGGCCATATGATTTCTATGGGTGTCGATGCTTTCTGTTAGGAATATGATCTGTTATGGGGTATAAGAAAATGTATATTGGTGTTGAACCACAATTTGAGTAGACTAGTAAAGTGATTATTGAGGTACTCACCACCTCCATTTGTATGAAGAGTTTTTATGTGAGCGTTAAATTGATTTTCCACTAGATTTTTGAATTCTGGGAATTTCTCAGTAGTTTCATTTTTATTTTGAAGAAGGTAACCCCATGAGAAATGAGATTGATTGTCTATTAAGAAAACATACTATTTATAAAACATGTAGATAAAATAGGGGAAGGTCCCCAATCATAAGAGTTTATTATATCTAGGTGATAAGAAGCATGAGCTGTGAAGGTGATAAAAGGTAGCTCACTACTCTTAGAAAGACAACAGGAAATGCATGAAGATTGTTGGCAGTTGGAGCAGTTTAATGTAGGATTACGTTGAGCTAAAGTTTTATGAACCTTGTAAGAAAGATGATCGAGTTTTCTATGCCACATATTTGAGACCTGTTGAATGGTTATAAGTGCTAAGGAGCTTGGTGTGGCTGTGGAATTATTTTTGCACTGAATTAGATTAAGTTCTTGCACGCAAGGTCCTTCAAGTAGAATTTTGTTGGTCTATATATCCTTGATAGAATAATCATTAACCATAAGGTAGTAGAATAGGAGTATTTACTGTTAAGTTTAATGAAGTGAGAACAGATTATAGGAAAGATTTGGGACATGGTGAATATTTGGAAGAAGGAGCTTACATATGGCGGTGGGAAGCAAAAGTCTTCTCTAGCTTAGGTGACTAAATGGATCGATCGTTTTTCATGTGCTATGATAGATCATTGGGCCGCAAGGTCTTTCAATGGTGAAGAAAGAGCTCTGCCTATTTTAGATGATCGAGCAGGAAAAGCACAGCTGATGTCATAGAAGCTCTGGTTAACTTTGTTAGTCAAGATGGAAAGAACATATAGTTCTTAGTTAGACCTCATCTGCGCCAAGACTAAAGTAAAGGCAACCTCTACTGTCTTCTTTGTCCAGCCTTTCTTTTTCTAGCGCCTTTCTTTTTTCCGCATATTGAGAGACATCCGGTTGGATTATCTTGTCTTAGGTCTCTCTAACTCCTCTATATGGTGGATCTTATCTCCTCCAGCATCTTACTCTTCTCTTCAGCTATACTTTTGTTTGCTTCCTATGAATTACCTGTGTGACACTCTCTTTCGTAACAAGAACAACTACAGCCTAAGAATATGGTCGGAAGCTTCACTTTTTTTCACTTGCAATCTTAGCTCCAGCCGGCATAAGGAAGCACTTGAAGAGTGACCATGACAAGAGCCAATCCAAACTGAGTCTTTCCCATTCCATTTTCAGTAAGTTGAGTTCATTCTAATTACTTCTGGATTTGATTGAATAAGTATGAGCAATGGGAAGCTGTTGGCCATTTCTTATGGTAATTGAGCTATCTCCCTTGTATTGTAATATTGAGTATTTGTAATCTGATTAGGGCATGCTATGGATGTCTTGTAGCACCACTGTCCAAATACCAATTGTTATTGGTACCACATATAGATTCAATGATCAGGGCAGTGGGTGGCTGGTAAGTCTTGTTGTGTCTATGCCAGCACTTAAATGCAAAGTGGCTTGATTTATTGCATATTTCACAAATGAGTGTGGAAGCTTTTTGAAATTGCGGTTGGTGGTGTTTGTACGTGAACCTAATGAAAATTGATTTTGATTTGAGGTGAAGTTGAGTTTCTTGTATATGCCGCAGCCCCTTGTGGCTGTAAGTATTGTGTGAGTGGTTTTGTTGCACTTTTTTGGAAGCTTCCTGTGCCAAATTGAGTTCATCGCTTCAAAGGAATGTGTAAAGAACATCAAGTTTCAGTGGTTGAAGATTGGTTCTTATAGATGTCTTGAATACGTGGTAATTGAAAGGAAAACCATTGAGAGTGTATGATATTATGTCTTTAGAATCCAATGATGCGCCTGCAGCAGCCAATATTTTGATTTTGTATTTAGTTTCTGATAGATATTGTGCCATAGTCTTGTCTTTCATGGACATGCTATGCAACTCGTTCTTGTGTTGAATTATGCAAGATCTATTAGTTAACTGTAGTTTGCGTTCTACTGTTGTCCAGATTCACTATAGCAAACCAAAGAATTCACTTTTGAAAATAAAATCAGAGTACATAAGGTAAAACTATAAAATTGACACTTAAAAAACTGTTACAGTTCATTGAGTGAGGGACCAAAATTGTTATTTCCTCCTAACAAAGGTAACAGTCAACTCTGATTTTCTCATTGAATTCCCAATCTCTGTTGGCTCTTTGATTTTTCTTGTTTTATAACCTGTCATATGGAATCAATCTCTGTTGGACGGATTCCGTCCTGCTTATTTGTCAATCCATTTTTTTTTTCCTGTCTTAGTTGTTTTTGCCTATTTTTTAGCTGATGGGAGCTTTCATAAGTGTATTGTTTCTTGCTCAAATTTCTTATCTCGGTCTTTGTATTACAGCTTCAAGTGGTTCGGGCAAGTGATCCGGTGACACACTGGAGAATTGGAGTTGGAGCTTCTTCCACCTCCAAACTCGTGCGGCCAGGAAAACCTCTGAGCAAACTCGGTAGAACGAAGAAGCCGATTTTTTCAGGTACAATAACGGCTAAAAATGGGCCAGAATTGTCCCATACAGAAAGGAAAATCAGAGCTTATGATGACCTTTTCTGAAAATAATTTTTTCTTAATTATATCATCCTTGAGTTGTGATCCTCATATTTATGGTTTAAACCTTAAACCAAAGGTTATTTTGTAAAAGTTGACCCTTCTTTAACTTAGATAACTTTATAATAGAATTACTTGTTTGAAAATCCTTTTTTCTTTGCCTACTAATTGCAAAAGGGTGTAAACAACTGAACTTAGCTGTACTTTGTGTAAACTTATTTGAGATGAGCTAGTTATTGTTCTAGATAAGAGATTGTTTACCATCTCATTGATTTTTTATGCTGTTTGATGAAGTGTTGTTTGATATTCAAGTAGTATATAGATTGTGTTACTATATATATATATATATATATATATATATCCACCCCTAATGTGCCTAACAATTCGAGTACCGCCTCCATAAGGCCAACTGTGCTAGAGGGGATTCGAAAGTCGACCTGAGGGGTCTTATACCATGGATGCCAACCAACAACCCAAGGTACGCGGTATATATATATTAACATTTATAGTTAAAACCATTAATATATATATAAGACATTTATGATGCAAATATTTAAACAGGTGTATCTGTCAGTGGGATTGCATGAAAACTAAGATGTTAGCAAATCAAACAACCATTAATGCATCCTTCTTGTGGCATGGAAGTCTTAGGTGATAATTTTTAGCATTATAATTTTGTTATTTTAAGGTTGAAAGAAATATTATATTCCTGACATTCGGAAAAAAATGGTGAATGATAAAAATAGCACTACCATGCACATGTATGGACAATGGATGAGCTGACTCGTTCAAATCAAACGAAGTATTACTTCAGTCAATCAACTTTAAATAAATTTATAAGGTTAGCAGAGCATTTAAATCTTTTCAGAATGCCAAAGATGAAAAAAAATGTAGTTCTATTCAAGTCCTATACTAATGGTTTCCATTCCCCTTTAGAAGTGATCTAGAAAATCATGAGTTCATATATTTCCTCTCAGATTAGATTTCTATGTTATAAAAAGGTAGCCAAGTGTTACTCCGAAATCATTTTTATAGTTTGCATGATAACATAAAGATAAATATGCAAATCTTATGCGTCGCCGACAGTGGGAACAATGCCTGCAACATAAAATTCGAAATTTAGATTACGTCGGTTTCGGCGTTTCGAACTGTGTTCTAAATTGAGCCCGAAAAAATTTGCGTGTTTGAATCACGCGGTCGGGTCAACCTCTGTTCTGCGCGAACTCTGTTTTATTTTAAGCTTTTGAGTTCATGGGTTCTCACTCATTAGTGTATCCAAATTTGGGCTCTCTTCAATACCTATCCTTTGTTTTATTCATTCCTAGCATTTTTTAAATATCTTCTATTATTTTTATTTTCACTCATTAAAATGATGTAAACCTTGACCAGCAAACATGACACATCTGCAGGAATGTCTTTTATATACGCTTTATAATCTTGTCCTTAAATGCAACTGCTACTATAAATGATTTGTTTCTCACTCCACAATTATTTACGATATTAATTAGGCTTTGTTTGGTTAAGCTTTTTCTTTTTTAAAAGTATGTTAAAAAGCTGTTTTAAGACAAGCAGCTTTTTAAAGTTAAATAATAATATCGCTTCGAAATAGTATGAAGTTGGAGTTTTTTTGATAATCTGTTCTTAGAAAAGCATAAGAACCAAACAATATACTAAATGAGCCTATTTCACCTCTTTTCTTTTAACTTATAAGCATACATTTGTTGGCTCACACCAAACAGTGCCAAATTTAACAACACTAACAAAAACACTAAAAAGAAAGGATAGTTACGTACAAATCACCCGAACATATGAATATTTACAAACTAATCACCGGATGCTTTTTTTTTTTTAACCAACATACCGACATATCTACGTGTGTCACGATCAAAGTATTGATAATTTGATAAAGATGAAAAATATGGATTGGGGTTTTACGATGAACTTTGATATTTGAGCGAGAATTTGAAAAATAGATGAAAGAGGCTTGGTTGCTTTGTAAATAGCAAGTTTCGGGTGATTTTTATGTAATTGCACCCCCAAAAAAACCCAACAAATTGTGAATCTAGTTCCAACACTTCATCATGAGCCCCTCCACTAGTTCTCCACCCAAACCAAATAATGAAGAAGAGAAAAATATATCAAAATAATAATTAAAAAAAAAAAAAAACAAACAAACACACACACAAAACAAAAAAATAGTGAGGCAAAGAGCTATAGATCAGCCGATCAATCTTAACCCCACAACAAACTAAGATTCATGAACATATATACTGACAAACACATCCTCCATTCCAAACATGCTAAAGTTTCAAAACCTCATCACTCCTTCAACCCACTGTCTTCCTTTCCCCTAACAAAAGCTTCCTCCGCCACCTCCTGCCGGCCACCACCACCACCCATCGCCTCCTCATCCCCCACCCCCTTATAACGGTAGAAATGAGCACACACCAGGAAGTAAACAAAGTTCACCATTCCCATCACCGCTATCACATAGTAGAAGTAGTCGATGCGGCCGGAGTTTATGTCTCCGGCGAGCCAGCTTCTCCGGCCATCCCGGCTGGTGGCCTTCTGTATGACGGCGATGAGCACGCTGCTCAGATATCCGGCGCCCGCCAGGCTGCAATAGAACAGGGAACCTGCCACTGTTTGCATTTGCTCTGGGAACTGCTGGTTGTAGAACTCCACCTGCACGTCAAGTCATCAATTGATATCACTTCAATAGTTGGGCCATGTGACATGCATGCCATCCAATTCCTATGTATTTACATATCTAACAACTAAACTTTACTCTTTCCATTTGGGTGCTGAGCCCGTAAAAATTAAAGTTTAGGCGCAAGATAGGTCAATACATTAAAATTTGTGTGCTGCCTATGTAAATTCTTGTGTATAATGATTGCTGTTTGAAATGATTTTGCTTGAACAGTCTATATGATAAGACTATTATAATCTTTTTCATTTGTTTAGCTCTGCATATTATTTGTTGATCAACTGAAAAAGCTAAAGTCAATACTTAAGGGCCACTACCAGTTGTTTGTTTCACTTTCAGCTTCTTTCTGTCACAAATTTCAACTGTGGAATAAGTGCAGTACTAAAACTATGAATGACATTAAAAATTCAGTTAATGTCTATTTTTTTATTCATATATTATGATGTGATTGAAATATTTAAATATTATATAAATAAAGATCAAAGTTTTAGATATGTAAATGTATAAGAATTATATATGTTGTGGAACAATTAGAAAAAAAAAAAAAAAAAAGTTGCTATTTATGTAAATTTCCACAAAATATGACCAAGAGGATTAATTAGCCCTACCTGCCCGACGGCATTGAACGCCTCCGCGACTCCCATCAGCACCAGCTGCGGCGACAGCCACAACACCGCCGACATCCCAGACGCCACAGCACCGCTGACATCCCAGCCGCCGCCGCTGCCCCTTCCCGGCGGCGCTTCCCTTCCACCACCCCCGCAACTGCCATCGAAACGGCCGAAACGAACAACCCTACTCCCTGCCTCTGAAGCAGAGTGAGGCCCGTTTCCCTTCCCGTGACCCGCCGGAGTACGGGGACGATGATCCGATCGTAAACAGGTATGAAGAGAGTGAGAGTGAGGAGGGAGATTATGCCGACTGTGGCCGCCGGAATCTGGAAGCCAGCGGAGGCGAGGCGGCGGTCCATGGTTAGAGATTGGAGGACGGAGAAGGTCCATTGTTGGGAGATTGAGATGAAGAAGATGATGCCGGAAGCCCAGATGGGAATGATTCGGATCAAGAGTTTGACTTGTTCGACCATCTGGACGCTGCAGAGATTCCATGGATTGGTTGGCTCGCCGGCGTCGTTTAGTTCTCCGGCGACTTTGATTGCGGCTTTGTTCAAGAATCTGTTGATTAATTAAGCATGATCAGGCTTAATTAATCACTCTTTTCTTGTGATTATCTCTAATTTTCTTTTTTTTTTAATCATGATTTCAAGTTTAAAAAAAAAAAAACACACGTAGATGCTGCCACGTCCGTCCAGACGGCCAACCATCGGCTGCTACACCACCCACGATAAGATGTATGATAACCTAGCAGCCAAGAATTGATCATCCTAAAGTTACAAAAAATATTATCATTGTTGATTATATATATTTGCGTACTCAGATCAGTTTGTGAGACATCAACTTGTCAGTTGTAAGTCTCCTCTGGTCTGAGGTTTGATTCCTCTGAATGTGGCGCATGAGGGATGACTAAGGCTCGTATAATAACCAACATCAAAATTTTATGAATATTTAAAAAAAAAAATTGTGGAGTATCTATGTAATTTTTTTTTAATTGAATAATCTTCCTTTTTTAATCCTCTTCTTATGTAAATATTCCTATTAAATAATATTCATCAATCTATAAAATTTGATTTGTTTTTTTAATTTTGAGATTTTGTCCAAGATCAAATTATGATTTCTATGAACTTGCATTAGAATATAAAAATTAATTTTTAATATTTGAATGATTAAAGCTTGCAAAGTTTCACTCACCATATATGATTAGTTATGTTTACTAATGAATTGACTTCAACTAATCAACCATAATTCATAATTATACAATCATAAAATGATATTAAAAATCACTATTACATACCCTTTAAAAAACATTTTTTCATATAAAATGTCATTTATATATAAATAAGTTTCTTTTTTTAAAAAAAGTAATGGTCAGATGCTATTATAAGAGCCTCCAACCATTTTAATGTGCTTAACCATTCGAGTATTATCTCCTTAAAGCCAGCTATGCCATAGGGGATTTGAACTAGGGTTGTCAAAACAGCTCGTTGTTCACGAACAGCTCGTGTTCGACTCACTAAGAAACTCGTGTTCAGCTCGTTCGTTGTTAACGAGTCGAACACAGACAACACGAACAAAGATTTGTTCGTTCGTGTTCGGCTCGGTTTGGCTCGAAATACTACAAATCAATTATATATACATACATTGATGAGTAGTATTTTTAAAAAAAATAATTGACTAAAAGGCTACAAAGATTTATAATCAGTTAAAATTGTTAATTAATAAAATAGAATAAAAATTATTAAATTAGATTCAAATGATATTTTTATATAAATAATAATTTTTAAATTTTCTTCAAATTTTTAATATCTTACGGTGTCAAAAGAAT